TTAATAAAATTATTTCTTATATTATTTCATTTAGAGCATTTAAGTTAATTTATAGCGCAGATTGCACTTTTAATGTATAATTCACATTGTAAAATTTGAATCTTGTAATAACAATAACAATTTAAATCAAAGTTTAAAGAAAAATTCTACGAAAAACTGGATCAAGGAGGCACTATATTTGTAAGTATGGTTAGGAATTTATTCTGACTGATTGGAAGTTTAATTGGTTTGTGTTGGATTGTTGAATTATGGAAAAGAGATTATTGAGTATCAACTTATATTATAAAAATTAGATGCAAAAATACTTTAAAATTATATCATTTTAATAAAATATTACATAAAAAACTAAAATAAACTCAATAATGCCTTAAAAATTAAAATATTTTAGTTTTTTTTATGAAACTTTATTAAAATTATGTAATTTTAAAGTATTTTTCTATTTAATTTTTTACAATACAAGTTGATATTCACTTTTTATATTGAAAATTGGTAATGAAATAAAACCTTTATTAGTCTTGAGGCAATAAGTTCTTTTTCTTTTTTTTTTTTTTTTTTGAACAATTTTGTCATGGGGCGGGTTCGAAACCCGCCCAGGGGAGGGGGATGTGCACTTTTCAGTGGCTCTAACCATTGGGCCACACGGGCCAAGTGCCTTTTTTTTTTTTTTTCGATATTAATAAGTATTGAAAAATATAAAAACTAACATTAATACCATATGATAACTTAAAAGATGAGGTTTTACATCTAACTCCTACAAGAGTTGAAGCTTGCTCTTGGCCAAGGCAAGGAGTGCCTCCACAACACCTGCTACTGCAGCAGGTGCTCTATTGCACCCCTGCAAGTTTGGATGGCTAGGTTTTTTAAATTTTGTTAAAATTAAAAGTTAGTTTTTAAAATTTTTATTTAAAATTTTAAATTTGTGAAAGAAGAATTTGTTTAAAATAAATTTACTTTTTAAGCTCTCCCAAACAATCTCTAGAGAGCATACTTTTTCTGTCCACCTGTGTTAAGACGGAAGAAGTTTTTTTTTTTTTTTTTCTTAGTAAGCTTCATTTGGGTATCATCATGGACTGCAAGGGTTCAACTTATCATAAAAGAAAATGACAGTTCAACATATTTTTTAACATATTTTTTATTCAACTATTAAAAATATAATATTAATATATTTGATTCAGTCTTTTTATATTTTGTGTGCATGATTATATCTTTAAATTTATATATTTTTAATTTTAAATTAAAAAATAATACTTTATTTAATAATTATGTTGTATAATATATTAAATCAAAATATATATCAATTATTGTCACACCATAAAATAGGGTCAAGCTCAAATATTTAAAAGTTGTATTTCTTCATTTTTGTGGCTTCCTCCTTGGATAAGCCGGCATAACAAAATAGACAGTCAAAAACCATTGGTAGTAGAGCCAGTTGAGCCCCCGGTTGCTTACCACGAGATTGAGAGTTTGAGTCTTCTTCCCTTGTAATAAAAAAAATTATAATTCTACTTAATATTATAGGCTTGATATTACACACTTATCATATTATCATATTACCGAGTTATAATTATAATTTTATAATTTTATCTTGTATAGTTAATATTATAGGTTTGATATTACACACTTATCATATTATCATATTACCGAGTTATAATTATAATTTTATAATTTTATCTTGTATCGTAAATATAGTATTTTCGTAAAAAAATAAAGTGAGAAATCATTCACGGATTCACCCTCTATCAAACATCTAGGGTTAATTTCTCAAATGTCAGAGCTCTTTACTGCATTGATTTATCATATAAACGCTGTTGGTTCTGTTCGTTAGCTGGAAAGATGCAACATTCTGACAATTCTGTTTCAGCTATTTGTCTCCTAAAGGAACGAGGTGATTCAGTTTTAACATCAATGCCATGCTTGCGGTGTCTGTGTCCCTTGCTCGAAGCAATTTATTGAAGAAAACAGAAGTTTATGTTGATTCTCTGCCATACTAGCGTTCATTGTACATATTCTGTGTCTGTACTTAATAAATTCTGATGTCCACTGCTTTACGATGCTTGGACTCTCATTCGCTCATGTAGTGTTTATTACACACATTAATGTTGTTCAACTCGGTTTTATACACAAACTACCTGCTACAAGTGGCTCTGGAGATTGATGCAAACACTTTCATCTTCATTCACACATTATTTGTACAACTTGTCACATTCGATTTCTGTGCCGACTTTATTTGCGGTTCCAAGGGAAACGTTTCACCACTAAAACTTGAAACGTTGCACATACTATGCCTCAATTACAAACGACCCAATCGACACATCTTTTATAGCGCTTCTAGATTATAACATGCAATTGCCACTAAAAAAAAAAAAAAATTTAAGCACCATAATTTAGAGCTTGTCCAATCTACTAACCCTGCTAAAGGCTAATGTCACCACCCTTCCTTTAGATAGCTTTCAATTTGTTCCAGTGCCTGCGAGCATATGGATTCAAATTAGCTACCAAATTAATCAACAGAAGAGGCCTAAATGTAGGGAAGTGCTCTAAGTTCACAAGCCCATGTAAAAAATGTAAAATCTATATAATATTTGCATGGGTGTGTGTGTGCGCGCGCGCTTGAGTATGTGTGTGTGTGTGTGAGAGAGAGAGAGAGAGAGAGACCTCGATTGCTATAGCAGTTGGTGTCAGATTCGACACATCTCCAAGACCTAGTTTGGCTGCAACATCTGCAAAATTGAACTCTTGTTATTATCAAAGTAGACAACATAGATGCAAACAGCAGTAAGGTGGACAAGTGGTAAATAAAAGCAATAAAAAAGGTAAGCCTCAATTTGACAAATAGGTTGAAGCATGCATACTTTCCAAGGAAACCCTGGCATTAGCATTCGCATATGCTTCACCCCTTTCTTCCCAAAGAGAAGATAGACGCTTCAAAGCCTGCAGGGTGTCACAAGTGTCAAAAACTCAATTGGAGATACAAATCAAGTTTCCATCATCAGTCATTCACAATACAAAGTCCAAATAAAGAGTAAACAACTTCAGCAACTTATTACCTTTATGTAAGCATCACCTGATTCATTATGCAAAAGAGGGCGAGAACCGGTACCTACTGCTGCAATTCTCTCTGCCAAGGCTTCCAAAGGTACATCCAACCAGACACTAATTCCTTTTTGCATATATTTCCTGATAAACACATAGAGAAATCACAAATTCTTATTTCTGAGGTTGCAAGAAAGGGAACCAATGAAGAGAAGAATCTCTGGTATTATTATTACTGTATTCATTTATACCAGTTGATGGGTCGTATGACTGCACCTCCACCAGTAGAAACAACAAGCTGATTCATTAAAGACAGCCTCCGCAATACTTCAGACTAGAACAATGAAAGAAGAGAGGCCTTGTTAATTTCAAAGATGTGTCCATTTATCTAAAAACACCTATCATATGAGAGAAGAAATGCTAGTAAAGATGGAATTCTTGGTTTTCCCCGAATATAATTTCTAAGAGACAATTTAAGAGCTACTCTAGACTAGAACAATCTGATCTTCTATAGCCTGACATGTAAATTTTTACCATTTTGCAATGAAGAAGGCACAAAATGAACCACAAAGAAAAATTTTCCTAATTGATACGCTAAAGAAATTCTGCACAAACAATCTAGTCAACCTAAATCTCAAATGTTTTCTTCCTCTAACCACAAGAAAAAAAAAAAAAAACAACAGAAGCAGTCATGTTTTCCATTCTAAAAAGATATACCACGCACATTTACTGACTTTATCCCAAAAAGCAATCCTTGTCACTGAAAATATATTTACACTGATTGTTTTTTCCTTAGGCCAGTATGTTGACAGAGATGTTTACAGTTACTACACCAACTTCTTAACAAAAATGACTAAATCAACAGCAACAAAACAGTGTAGTATATGACACAACTTTGGCAAGTCAAACACTAGCTCATATGATCTCCCACAAATAACCTCTCTCTATCTCTGCCTCTTTTTTTCCTTTTTCTTTGGCATCAATGGCACATATAACGACAATTGTTGCTATAATTACTAGTTCCATTTTTGGGCATCACACCTTGTAAAGTGCCACATTATCAGCAAAACCAAAATCATGTCATTGAGCAGATCAATATTAACTAACCTCCTTATCTCTGAAGAAACCCTCTCCATAGAGCTTAAAGATCTCAGCTACAGAAGTTCCATTGGCATCCTCCTCCACGACTGAGTCACTGAAAATAGTACATGGCAGATATTAGCTAGAAATTATACTACATGTAAAAAGGAATACATCAAGCAATTCAAACTAGTTTCCACAAGTGAAGATTCAACTAAAATTCCTACATGCTGAAAGTAGACGAGATCTCCATATTGTGAAAAGGCCAAGATGTATAATTATTCAGTGCATGGTCCAAGATCACTCCACATGACTAGGAAAATGTTTACTCACACTAAAATCAACTAATTATGAGGAAATTAAATCCGCAATGTGCTACCTCTCTAGTACATTTAATCTTGTCCCTTAATTTTCACCTAGCATTGAGAATGAATGTTTTAACTCAATGAGCTTGAATCGTGGGTGATAATGGCACACACCTGTCACAAAATGAATAACCAAGTACTTGAGACAGAATCCTCCCGACAGTTGTTTTTCCGGATCCCATCATTCCTACAAATTCACATTCAAAAACTTAGCCACCAAAGTAACTAAGTCATCTTATTCCAAAATACAACAATTGAGACAAGGGAAACTCACCAACAAGATATATACAGTGTCCATTTAAATATGGCTCAACCTCAAGTGACTTATTCTACAAAAATTTCATGTATAAAGTAAGTAATATGCACAAAACTAAAATCAGACTGTGAAAAGAAGTAGGAAACTGCAAAGTAGATAGAGCAAGATGCCAAAATGAGTTGGGACAAAACTAAGCTCACTAAACAAGAGGAAAGAATCATTAAGAGTTAAACTAGACACTAATGAACCTAAATTTAAAGGTATTGTGGAGAATTGTCCATACCTTCAAAATTAAAGCTTCTTCCGAAGCAGCTTGAAAGCTTCCAGTTTCCAACATTGCTAAAAAGAAAAAAGTGACAATTGCAAAAAAAAAAAGTCAGTTCTCAATCATCAGATAAGCTTTTCATTAAATAATAATACAATTTGTAGACATGTTCCAGATCCAAAACCAGCAGGGACAATGTAGAAAGGGTGCATAACAACCTTTGGAATTCTCAACATCAACAAACTAATTATCTGTTTCTTTAATCATGTGATTCCATTAAAAATTATTGACATTTTAGGAGGAGTTTGATGAAAAAAATAAACATAATTACGAGGAGTTCCATTTTCAATGCAAGAAGTAAACTTCCATTTACCATGACCATCTATACCTCCAAATATGCGATATCTACTGTTGCCTCTGGTCCTAAGAATCAGACCTTTTATTCCTTACTACTCCCACTGTTCCTCTTTATTTGATGTTTTAGAATTTTTTTCCTTTTTTCTACAAAACCAATGCTACATTAACTTTTTCTTCCGGTTTTACCCTCCACCAACCCATTAAATGGAATTCCTTTTCATTTGATGTTTTAGGAATTTTTTTTCCTTTTTCTCCAAAACCAATGCTACATTAATTTTTTCTTCCAGTTTTACCCTCCACCAACCAATTAAATGCAATTTTTTTTTTTTTTTCGGTACACTAAATGCTAAATTTTGATTGCTCTCTCAACACGCCCTTTAAAATGGTAATTTGGTAACATTGCATGTGAATGTTCTTATAATTAAGGCTAACATATTTTTCCAAAAATGTAAAACCAGGACAAATTTTTTTTTGAACTTTTTTATATAGGGCAGGTTCAAAACCCACTAGCAGAGGGAAAAATACACTTTTCAATGGTTAGTGACATTGTGCCTCTAGCGCCAAGTGCAAAACCAGGACAATTGAGATTTGGGGGATGGGGAAATGGGGAAATGCAATTGAGACTTTGCACCCCACGTTGACCAATGTCACAGACAAGTTTGGCCATCAGGCCACACAGTGGGGCATTAAGCCTAACAATTTCCTTAATTCCCGTACAAAAATCGGTAAAATTGAAAAAAAAAAAAAAAAAGGGAAGGAAAATATTTACCAGCCAAGAACACAATTCCAAACATCATAAAATACATAACATTCAAAATCTGTAAATATTATGTAAGATAAGCGGCTAAACGGTCCAGAAAATACCTGGAAAATTCTTGTACGAACTGGAAGCTCCCAGAGAGACGGATCTGTGCCGATTTGGAGTCCCCTGAGGCTTCAGGTGAGCTGAAATGAGCGCCGGAATCTTTTCTTTTCCTTGTAATGGTGCATTAAACCTCACAGCACCGGTCGGTTTTCTCGTAAAATTTCCCGAGTCAACCCATGCTGAACAGTGGAATTTGAATGCCAAGTTAGCCTCCATCATCTGCCTCAAAAAAGCTTTACTTCCCTGCATAAAAACGAAAATCTTCGTTATCGAATTTCGAATTCATTCGATCCAAATGGAATTAAGAAAACACAAAGCAAAATCCTAATTCTAGAAAAATCCGTATCGTTAGATTCGTTACGGACCTGAAAATTGATGAATAAATGAAGAGGCCAGGATGACTCCTCTGGTTATTTTCAGTTGTTGGTAGCGGCGGCGGCGGAGGCGGAGGCGGAGGCTGTGGCTTTCGGTTGATAAAACGTTGAAATGCAATAGACAAGTTCGGTCGCTGTTTAGTTGAATACTCTGTTGAGAGCCACCTGGTTTTAAAGGGCAGGAAATATTGATAAATAGAATTTAAAAAACGAAAATTTAAGGGAAGAGAAAAAATAAACGGATGAGGAATTTTGGGTTTTTTGGCCGTCCGGATGAGACAATATTTTTTGGCTTAACCCCCCGTGCCACCCTCCAACTTGTTGTCATTGCGGGTTTTAGCCCCTTAACATTACAGTATAAGTTATTTAACCTCTAAACAACTTGTGTCTTTTACAATTACCCCAAAATTGATAACAAACGAGTACGTGACTCACATGTTGTGTCTACTCGTTAACTTATGTCTACTCTCGAGATCTTCAATGGAATTTGGTAGTTGGGAGTGGTAAAAGAACATTAAAAGTTAAGAAGACTGACTAAAAGAGTTGAGAATTTGATCATAAATTTTCTATTTTAAATTTTTTTATGTCACAAAATTAGAGATTGAGCCCCATTCAAAGTGAAGGGCTGGAGTTTTACATTCGTTATCAATCCACATTGGACAATTTTTATTTCAATATTGCAATGTCATGGCAATAATGTGGTACTTAGTAGATATAAGTTAACAAGTAGAGATAAACGCGTGAATCACACACTTATTTATTATTAATTTTCTATTAATTTTTAGGATAATTATAAAAAATACAAGTAATTCAGAGTTAAATAATTTACATTATATGTTAAAGGGTTAAAACTCTAAATTACAACATATTGAAGGGTGATATAAAAGGTTAAGTCGTATTTTTCTTTTAATGCACCTGGATCAAACAACATTTAAGGAAATTATGGTCGCAATCTCGAGCAGTGTGGATATTGTTGGAGGGATATGAGAAAAATTCCACATAAAAATCAGAAAATTGAAAAATTCAATTACATGGTTACTTCTCAACCTTTTAAGCATAATTTGAATATGATATCAACCTCTTAATTATCATATTTGGGTCCTCAGCTTTCATTTTTTTTTTTTTTTTTAATAATCAAATCTGGATTGCTTTTATCAAAACATGTACCAATACAGCCATTTATCGGCTTAAATCATGGAGCAAATCATAAACAGAGGGAGGATAAGAGCCAGGCCAACATAGGTCATTTGTTGTACAGTGCCAGCACATGATCAACATTATTTACTTCACACTTCATATGTTAGAAACAAACATGGTTAAGCTCAGAAACAACCTAAAATATATCAATAAACAAATAAAAACTAAAATAGTGGGGATCGACAGTTTAAATTTGAATACCTTATATATATAATATATATTTATTAGTTGAATCTCTAGAAAAATTAAGAAAAAAAACCCTAAAATTGTGTATATTACTAATTAAGACAAATAAATTTGAAATACGAATTTAGTTATATAAACTTAAAATCTTCAGATTTTATACTCAAGTAAAACCCTTTTAGTGTCTAGTTTGCCCAAATTGACTCGGAAGATTGAAACTATTTTTAAGGGATTTGCGCTCCATTCCGTCTTTTTGAACTCTTTATTCCTGTTTTCTTTTTCATGTTTATGCAGGGTTCAATGGAATTGTTTCAATTTTGATTTTTTTTTTGGTATAATTTTTTTTTATCTTAGTTGCACAATGTAAGGCAACCACCTTCCATCATTTATTTCATTTCATTCGCATGCCATGCAATTCGAATTTAAAACATCTTATTTTTAATATAAAGAGATAACTACTGAATTATTTAGGTCGTTGGCTTTTTTCTGATATAATTGATGAGAAGAGAGCAAAGGTAACTTTTCATCTCCAA